TTTATGTTATCCGCGTGGAGCAGAAGATGCCAAGAGTTGAGGTGGTTGTGTTTGTTATAATGAGATTTTGGAGTGAATTCATTATAGCGAGTACTGTTTGTCTGGGAGCGGGAATCTTGATTCCTGTACCATTCATTTGTAATGGTAAGGTTTCTCATACAAAGAGGTCCATTACAGCCAGGTGCAACTGTACTTGTATTTTTAATCCTTTCCTGGTTTACCCCTCATATTCTCTTTTTTTGTATTATCTGCTTTTCTTCTAAATATTATTTTTATCAAATGTATTATTACTCTAACTGTGCTCACTACAGTCACTCAACAGAAGTGTTCGTGATCTGAGACAATTTTTAATTGCGGTTGCGCCATATGGTAGGGTAGTACTGGTGGGGTTGTCAACAGGCATGCATGTGTGCAAGTTTTAGTTCACGATCAACAACCTCTTGCACCTCTCAACATTCAACAGTCAATTGACCTGCCATAAATTAAACTACCTAATATTTTGTAAAACCTCCTCTTACTTCTAAAACTGCAGCCATCCTATCAGGCATTGATTTGTACAACTTCTTAAAAAACTCCTCAGGAATTGTCTCCCAAACCAATGGTAATACATGTGCAAGTCTTCTCCTAACAGCCTCTTTTCCTCCTGGAGTATCTGTAATCCTTGGATACTGCTGGTACAATCGCTTTTTAAGCTCAACCCATACATGCTCAATAGGATTTAAATCAGCGGAATAAGGGGGGTGGTCTACAACCTCAATACTATTTCTCTCCAACCAATCCATAATACAATATGCCTTATGAACAGGAGCATTATCTTGCTGAAAAAGAACATCTTCAGGTTGTATACCAAAGGAAATCATTTGATGAATAACATGAAAAGGATATCTTCTCAAAAGTCTAATATACCTGGTCTTCTTGATAGTTTGAGTAATAGGAACTAATGGACCTTTTCTTTTACCCCAAAAGCACCCCCAAACTATAAGCGAGATTCCCTTATCCTTCTCCTTTAGGTGTACACAATCAGCCAACCACTTCTCTGCAGGTTCTCTGAATACATATTGTTGCTTTGGATTCTTGGATTTCTCCACACTGCACTCATCACTCCAAATCACCCTTTCAAAATCCTCAGCTGTCTAGTCCCTATGAGCTGTAGCCCATCTCAATCTCTTAGCCACATGATCAGGCTTTAGCCTAGGTCTTTACTTGGCATATTCATTTTTTAATGTTTGCTTCTCTGAGTACCCGGTCCACTATGTAGGCAAATTTAGTAGGCAATCATATCCAGTTACTCTGGGTAGCACAAAGATTTAGCAGTATCAAGAGAAACACTGAGTGCATAGCAATCCCTGAAGGCGCATGTGATCATTTTCAGGTTGGACTTGACTGCCTGTATAATTGTGCAACACTGTTGACCACTCAAAATGGGTGTGCGACCGGGACAAGAGAGATTTTCAAGAGATTGGCGTTCACATGCCCAGACAAGAAAGCTCGTAACTGTTGTCCATGGGCATCTAATAATTTGAGCCACCAAGGCAATGTTCTAGAGGCAGTAGAAAAAGGCGATTAGCATGCCCTTCTCTGTAAAGCTCATTTCTCTCCACCTTGTTGGATGTGGGGGTCTTTTTTGGCTGCATACTTCATATTTCCAGAATACTTAACTATTGGTAAGAAAGGTAGAGGAAATTAATAAATTAATTAATTAGGTAAAGGAGGCTTTGGTGGATCTAGATTTGTGAATGGTTACGGTCATGATAGGGTGAATGGTTATGCTCAACTTTACACTTCTTTGAAAGGTGGCATTTTGGCGAGGCAGCTTAGTCATCTGAGACCGGTTTCATGAACACATCTGCCGAGTGACTGTAAGTACAAGAAAACATAACCCTTCTCTCCACAGAAATTTGTTTTACCATATCTCTCCTCATTGTAGAATATGTTGCGTTATAACCGACAACTCGGTGCAACTAGTGTTGGTTTATAATGACCTGCAACCCACATGGGTTTCCAGACATTTGGATCACCCGATTTCCGCAATCCCTACTTCGCCATTCCTAGTTTCCATTCTTTAATGACCCCTCCGAGTAGTTGCTACTGAGGCGAGTTTGCATGGATTTTTGATGTTTCGGAACTATTTTTGTCCCCCTACTGTTAATGCAATAGCCCCCCAGTCGTGCATCAACGAAGCAAGAAGCACAAGAATTGCGGTTATTTAGGACATTATTTCGACCTATTGGTTGCATCTCCAGATCATGCTCATTGTTGACAGCAAAGTTCAGCTATAATTCTCCCCTAGTTCACCCTACTCGAGACTTTCACTTTCGACCCCTAGGATACATAAAATAACTACCATCCATGTAGATCAAACATATTTGGATTTAACCTGCCACCGCCCTTCTAACCCAATTACTCGAGTATCGAGTATAACGAAGAGATGAATGACATTTCAGTGGTGTAAAAACTAAAGGATGAAAAAATTGAAAAAATTTACCCGATCCAACCTCGCACATTATTTCCAGGTTTTTCGACCCCAACACCCAACATTCTAACGCTATTCTTCTACACAGGCAATTATACTGAAAAAATGAGCCCCCAAAGCGAGAGAAAGGCAAAGAGGGAGGAAAGATCCACTCCAACTATTTACGCCATGCGTCTTGCCTTAATTACCGACACGGAGTACATGATAATTCCACCGATTGCCAACACGATACCTGAACGGAATTATTAGCCCGAAAATTCCGCCAAGTTTTGTGGAGGAGCTGGGTTTCTCACCTAACAAACTCTTGTCTGACACACTTCTTCCGCTAGCCATCCAGCCTAAGATAACGATTGAGCAGGTCTTAGCATGCCCCACGACAGTACTACTAACAGCCCCAGCACCCGCAATGATGAAGAATTGCGACAAGTTGATAAGGCTAGCAAACAAACCAGACATGAGAATCATAGCCCATCGGCTGATGGGTACATCGCCAAATACCGGAATGGCATCCGCGAAAGGAATAAAGAACAAGAGCAAAAAGGTGGACGCCGGCGCCTGGTTGAAAAGTAGCTGCATGGAGCTCATATTGAGCTTCTTATGATATGTCCCGATCCAAACGGTATATAGAGAGCTTGCTACCACACCACTGAAAGCGAAGATGACACCAGCGACGGTTGTCACCTTCCCTGCCTGTTCCGGAGTCGCAGCACGGGTGTCATAATAGGAGACTACCCCCACACCAGTACAAACCGGGATCAAAGAAAGAGCAGCGTACGTAGGGATCGAGACCCGGTAGAAGACAAGATTTATCAAAGCCACGAAAGGTGTGAGCAAGATTCTCGCAATCTGATAGAAGGTGATTGAGGAATAGGCCAGCGAAAGATTCGGAAGAATAACGTTGAAGCACATAGCAAACGCTAGGGGCAAGATCTCGACAATCCCGCATCGTTTCGGAACAAAGAAGCCAAAAGAAGGACGAGAGATAACAAACAATGTCAAACTTGTGCAGACAAAATGAAAGGCAGCAAAGGATGTTTGCATATTCTTAAAGTTTGGATCATCGAAGATCCTCTTGTTTGTGAAGACCTGGCAACGTCGCAGAGTTAGCAGCCAACATCCGAGAGCGAAAATAGAGCGATTAAAATCGTAAATTTCAAGCGAGCAGGGCGATTTACTATTCCAATAGTAGCCAGGGTGTTGACTGCGGTCCAGATCAGAAATGAGGTTTGACTCGACTTTTGCGAATTCGACTTTACAGCGCTGTCTGGCAATATCACAGGTTTCAACTCATGCCCTGACAAGCTACTGCGTGTCGATCCGCCGATAGATAAACCATCATCACTGTCGTCCGGCTCCTGTTGGGACAGCAGGTTAGCTTTCTGAGCCTCCAGGTCCGACTTCAGCTCGATATTAATGCTGTTGTTGTTCGAAGGTCCCGGCATTGCCGTGAACTGAAGGCAAGGTTATGGTTGTTAGATCAGGAAGAGCGCGGTGGTCTGAACAAACGAAGAGCAAGTTGTAACGGGAATCAGTGTTGTGCTGTACCGGCAGCGCAGCGTGGGAGGGGGAAGGGTGGATGTCGGCGGGTGGAGAGGGGACAAAAGAATAACCAGATAGTACAAGGTCAACAAAAGGGAGGGTTTATCAAAAGGAGGGAGCGGGCGCGGATGAGGTTAAACCCCAGCAAGTGATGTGCGAGAACAAAAATTGATGAAATCCGCGAAAGATTGCAAAAAAGAAAAAGTTAGTCCGGATTCTCGCAATCGAGCTCGGAAGGCAACAAAGGAGGAGGGAGAGGAAGAGGCAATAGTGAGGGAGAATGCAGGGGATGATAAATTTAATATTAGCTCGAGCATGTGGCGTTACCGCTCGTCATACTCGAGTACAGTAAGGGTATTCAAAGTTGAAAAAAGTTCCAAAAAAACTTAGCTTACTTCACTGTTTCATGAAAGCTTGGCACACCCAGAAACCGTAAATTTACCATTACTTTACTTTATCATACCATGCCTTTTTTTTGAGTAGATACAGACATCAAGATTTCCATATCTACATCAAAATGCCGTAATGAGTAAACACAGGAAGTGGCATAAGGTTACTTTATAGTGTTAGCCTATAGGATCCACATATTTTGAGTAGCATATTGGAGTGTATTGAGGCAACTAAGAGGACAGTTTAGACATTTTCACCAATCTTACCAATGCTGTAAAACATCAATAAATGGTTTTATTGCTAGGAAAAGTTGATAATTACTTTCAATATATGCTCTAATATTTCCTGATAGTTTGAATTTTTTTTTTCATATGATGAATCAGCAAAAAAATACATTGTGTCAAATACGTCTGCAGTATGTACTAACGTAAAGGTTACTCCAGTTGCCCACATCCTATGCATCATAAGCATTCTGAGCATCCAATTGCGTCCTGGGCATCCAGAGTGTCCGGTTGCGTCCAACCTGTCAGGAGTTTATCCTAAGCGAGAATGTACTAGTGTTGGTATCCTGATACAAGACAACAGAGAGTCCTTATCATAACACTACTTTTAAGCCAAAAACCAGCCACTGCTATATCCACAAGATACTAGCCTGAGGACTAAATCTAAAAATATTCACAGAACTAGAATATATATTGTACCAAATTCTATTGTAGTTTCTTAAACAATCTGGGAGCCAAAGTGGCCAACTATAGAATGGAAAAGTGTGTGATAGTTGTGATTGTAGGGGGTAGGTGGTGATGTGAGTGTTTTATTAAGTTTTTCTAAGACTGTAATGCATTTAACATCAGGACAACCACACAACATCAAGGTCAGAACATCAACAACAGGTCTATTAACTATGATTGCTCAACGGTCGCTATATCATCAAAGCTAATAATTTGGTACAACATTCTACTCAATTTCACATTTCCATTACAGCAAAAAATATCAGCCTACTATTAGTTTGCAAGGAGTTACAAGTTATTTTACATCCTGGTGAAGTGCTGATTTTGATACCAGATTCCTGGCTGAATACCTAAATGCACAGGCTGACAGTTTGTGTCGCAGACATGCTCAATGTGAGCCTTCCAATGGTTTAAAGAACATGTTCCCAGCATTGATATTGGTTGAGATACAGGATGTTATGAAAGTTGTCTTTTCTGGCAAGGTTTTGACTATACAATAAATTTCATACAAGATGACGTCCTGAATACTGTGACGTCTAAGCTAGCATTTTGCATCTTTGACCTATTTGATGCAGGCCTTTCAGCGTTGTAAGGAAAGTCTTACTGGCACTACTGTCCAAGGGGTTGTAGCCTGTTTTGAACCTTGGTGAATTGATGATCATGATATCTGATTCTGTTGGTCAATACTCAACACTAAGGCTAGCCTTTTGCATTAAATACCTACTCAATGCCAGCCCTTCAATAATGTATAGAATGTCCTACAGATAATGATAATGGTGGAGATACAGGCTATTAGGAAAGTGGTCTTTTCTCGTGAGATTGTAGGTATGTGCTGACTTTAAAGCCAGATTCTGTCCTGAATACTCCACAATTATACTGACACTTTACATCCTAAACCTACTCGATACCAGCTTTCCAACAGTGTATAGATGATCTCCCCTGTGCCATTATCTGTGGACTTATCATGTATTTTGTATTCTGGTGAAATGCTGACTTTGACACTAGATGGTATCTTGAATATGCCAATTTGTAGAATAACATGTTTCATCCTGGACACCATCTATATGAGCTTTCCAAGAGTCTATAGAATGTTGTCCCTGGGTTGATATTAGGGAAGATAAAGGCTATTTATGATGGTGGGCTTCATGGGCCCGGTTTTGACTATATGCTGACTTTGGTGCCAGATTTCGTCCTGAATACCATTACATATAAGCTGACATTTTGAATCTTAAACCAACTTAGTCCCATCTTTCCCATTATTTATAGAATATCTTCCTGGCCTCATTATTCAAAGAGCTAGTGCCTGTTTTGAATTCTGGAAAAGTGCTTAACTTGATGCCAGATGCCATCTTGAATTCCTTAACATGCAGGTTGTCATTTTGCATTCAAAGCCTACTTAATACCTGCTTTCTAGCAGTGTAAAAAATATCTACTTAACATTGGTCTTGGTGGAGATACAGCCTGTTATAACTTGAAGACTTTGTATTGCTTCTGTATTCCTACTCAACTTTTTTAAACTACTTACAGTATTAACAAAGATAAATCTTAAATTACAATATTAAAGCTCAGTTTGGAATAACTTATGCGTAAGTTATGCTATGTATTGACTGTGGTCTGAAAATGCTGTATTTACCAAGGAGCATTCTGAGGTTAGTTACTATGTTCTGCTATGTCCTAGTACATTCTGTTGCATCATAGTACCTCTTGGTACATTGGACGTAAAGAATACAGAGAATGCAGGTGATTATTTTTACTGATACGTGTCAGGTCTTGGATTAGCTAGAGTTTAGTTAAATCAGATTTTAGGTTAGATATGGACATATTAACCTCTCTATTAACAATAAAAACCAGTATGGTAAGGTAAAGTAAGATAGTAGTTAATTGACTCTTTGTGGGTTTGCTTATGGTACATCTTGTTACAATTGCTTTTTGAAAGTGGTACAATCACAAAACAGGAGTTGAATCTTGCATATCTAGTTTTTTCAAGTTAGTATAATCTGTTAAAGAGAGAAATCTATTGTAGCATATCTGGTTAACACTAAAATAACAGCCAAGAAATAAACTATATATATATACTATAAGGATCAGATGACGAATAGCTATCACATCTATCTCCTGTACAAAAACCTACTGTAAACTCTAGCAGCTCAAACTATACAGGAAAATTCCTTTTACTTTTCTTTCCAAATTTAGAAGAAAAATGGGGAAGAAAAAATAGACCAAAGTGATGGTTAGAACCATGCTGAGGGTTTACCATGAACAGGGACTTTGTAAAAAGAGAGTTGAAAGTAGGTTTAAGGGGAAAGCTAGATAGCCGCAAAGGATATTCTGAAGGAGTTTTTTGAAATTGACCTGGAAGCCATACAGCTAAAGAATAAGTGGTCGAATGTATTTTAGTAAATTTTCAAAACTCTTCTAATATTAGCTTTTAAAATAGAGAAAGAGAGCTTACAATGCTATTGAAAAATATTTTGATAAAATTTACAAAATCCATACTGCAATCAAAAATAATATAGGATTTAGATGAGATGATTAGCGAGCAATTCCAACAGCACCAGCAAGTGTTTGGAGTGCTTACCTTACTGCTCATGCAGAAGCAGAAAGGTTCCTGGAAAATGTACTTATTTATTATCCTATACATTAGAAACTCGGTGCAAATTTGTCAGTAATGGGTGAATTTGCACTTACCGACAGCCTTTTCAACTACCCCCACTCCGCCCCATCATCCCAAGCCTGCCAAGCGCCGAAGGATTCCACCCTTTCATGTTGTACTATGCGAATATCAGTCAATCCACAATGGAAGCCGTTGAGATGGAAGGGGGGAAGGGCAGTTTAGAAAAGGAGAGGCATGCAGAGAGAGGCAAGAGGAACAAAGGACTGAATGTAGAGAGGAGGCAACCGTAGCGGAAGAGCAAAGCCAGCAGTGGGGAGTGGGTCCGAGTATTGAGGTCGGCTATGGAGGGAGGCCACAGGAAGAGAGCAGGAAGGTAGGAGAGAGGATAAGAGATCAAGAATGTATGTTAGAAGAAATTGGCAAGCAAGAGGGGGGAAGGAGAGAGGACGAATACTTGTGAGTAGGAAAGAATATTAAGTCTGACCGGAAAACAGCAGGAGGAGTAATTGCCCAAGCACTTGATTGTATGGGAGCAACAGCACAAACCATTCAGCAGTCCAAAACTGCAAATGCAGTTGAAAGACTTCAAAATGACTATGAATCGAGATTGACTATTGATGAAATAGCAAAGGGATTTTGTGGTAGGGAAAATGAGGTTAAGGCTACAGTTATTAATGGCTCTGCAGCTAGAAGAAGCACTTGACCACTTGCTAATGACTGCTATTGATTTTTTATAAGTTTTTTTCTTCTTTTTTTGTTTTTTAATTTCTTGCTGATGTACAGTCATGTCCGGAAAGTTTTCATAACCCTGAGGTGCAACCAACAACACTTCATCACCACAACAACCCTCCTCACCATGGCCCCTCCACATAACCTAAGTGCAAGAGAAGATCTGAATAAGAAAACTTATACTCTGTATAAACATAGAGATATGGGATATGACAAAACTTCTAAGTCTTTAGGTGTATCCAAGTCAACTGTTTAGTCTGTAGTCAAAAAAGCTAAATCTAGGGGTGGAAACACTCACCATATAAAAAGAGGTGAAAGAACAACCAAGATTACAGACATAAAAAAAAGAGATAGTGGAGTCAGTTATCGATGCTGAGCCTCATTTAGCATTACGCAATATTACCAAAAAAACAAATATTGGTCTTGGTAAAACCACTATTGATAAGATCATATCAGAAGCTAGTTTTAAGCTTCTGATACGTAGGAAAAAGCCTTTTTGAAAAAAAGAACAAAAGAAGAAAAGAAGGGAGTTTGCTAGGAGAAGGAGGATTTAGAAAGGAGCATGGAATTGGGTTGTTTTTGTGGATGAAGCCAAAATTGTTTGTGATCTAACTCTAACAGCCAGAAAGGTCAGAGTTAGACCTGGTGAAGTCTTGGAAGAAAAAAACTTAAAGCCTAGCTTTAAGTCTGTAAGGACTAGCATTGGAGTATATGCTGCAATGATGAAGGGAGGAAAGACTGAGTTAATTCTTGTGAGAAAGAGGAGGGAGGAGGAAAGAACCAGCAAAA